GATTCCCCAGTCACATCAAAAGAATCAGCCACTGAAGCCTCAGGGCTCAGGGCACACTGAAAAAGCAGCGGAAAGGCTTCATCCAAGGGTGTGTCTAAACACCAGGAATCCTTCCAAAACTTCAACCTGTCTCCCCTACCAATCTTGAGAGCTAGGCCATCAGAAAAAGTCAGGAAAGATTTGAAAATTTCTTTCCAGAGTGATTACCCCCAGTCCACCCCATGTTTAGAAACAATTAGGGTCCCACCTAGCATTCCTTTCAACACCAAACCTCCAAAGCCATTTACTGAGGAGAGAAGAGTTGAAAACCTTCAACTTCCTAATTCCCAACCCACCATCCTCCACAGGGAAGCAGACCTGATCCCACTTAACAAGATGTATTTTTCTTTCTTCCTTCCAACCTCTCCACAGAAAATTTCTTTGAAGGGACTCCATCTTTTTTGCTACTTTTGAAGGGATGGGAAAGAGGGATAAGAAGTAGGTAGGTAGGTTAGAAAGAGTACTTTTAAGGAGAGTAACTCTGCCCCCAGATGAAAGATACTTGGCTTTCCATGAAGCCAGTTTCCTTTCCATCCTTTCTACCACAGGATCGCAAATAGCACTCAAGGTACACTTGGCACCTAGAGGGAGCCCTAGGTATTTTCCAGGGAGATGATCCACTTTACATGCAAGGACTTCAGCCAACTCTTCTAAGCAGTCCATTTGGCCCACTGGAAAAAGAACACTCTTTCCCAAATTTACTTTGAGAGCCCTGAAACGACTTCAAACCAGCACAGAATCCCCAACATACTCTCCAACTGATCTCGAGAAATGCCAATAAAACATAAAGTATCATCTGCAAACTGTAACATGTTCACCTTCTCCCCCCCCCCCGAGCAGATTTCAAAACCCCTCCCACTAACCATCAGAGACGACCACCTTACTAAATTGGAAGAGCACCTCCATAAGACAAATAAAGAGCAAAGGGGAAAGAGGGTCCCCTTGCCTAATACCCCTTGAGCTTTCAAAGAAACCTGTAACTTGACCATTGATCAAAACTGAAAACTTAAGGGAAGTAACACAAACTTTCATCTAGTTCCTCCATTTTTGCCCAAAATTCATTTGTGCAAGCACAAAGTCCAAACATCTCCAATTCACATGGTCATAAACTTTCTCAATATCCAATTTACAAACCAGGCCTGGCGTCCTATATCTTCTCCTAGAGTCAATGAGTTTATTAGCAATAAGAACACTGTCCAGCATCTATCTCCCCAGAATAAAAGCACTTTGACTTTCAGATATTACACTAGATAAAACCCTTTTCATCCTCTCAGCCAAGATTCTTGCCAGAATTTTATAAAAACTATTGAGAAGACTAATAGGTCTAAAGTCTTTGATGTTAACAGCCCCGGCCACTTTAGGAATGAGAAATAAAAGTGGCACTTAGACTTCTCTGCAAGGAGGCACTACTATGAAAATTCAGGAACACAATCAACACATCTTGTTTAATTAACTCCCAACACTTCACATAAAACAGGTTTGTCAAGCCATTTGAGCCAGGAGATTTCTCTATTTCTATCTTATCAATTGCTTCTTTAACTTCCAATTCAGTGAAAGGTCTTTCCAGAAAAGCTTTTTGTTCATTAGAGAGCCTTTTGAAATGGGTGTGAGCAGGAAAGAGGTCTAACCGGCCAGGGTTCTTTGTATAGCTGTTTATAAAAAGAAGCCAAAGCTTTGATCTTAGCAATCGATTCACCTATTCTGCCCTCACTCTCTAACTTACTGATCTCCTTAGCTCTATTTCGAGCATTGGCCATTTTGTGAAAGAAGCCACTATTCTTGTCCCCCACCTTAAGCCAAGTAGATTTAGCTCTCTGTCTCCACCTGATTTCATCCTTAACAGTTAGTTTATCAAAAGACACCTTGGCTTGACTCCTTTTCAGTTGATCATGAGAAATTTGACCAGCTTCTTCACCTCTATCCACCTCTTAAATCACACTAATACCTTTTTTCCAGTTTCCAAGGACAGACTATTCTCCAGCTTCCAAATTCTGATTTTTTCTTTAATTAGCCCAATTTTCAGAATCAGAGCCCTGATTTTCCTTCCCAGTTTTTTCTTTTTCAGCGCCTTCTAGCACACTTGCTCGGACATTTCTTGGTGATTACCTGGAGGATTAAAGAAAGAACAAAAAGAAGGGATCGCTTTTTATCTAGGATGTATTCATGCCTCCAGTTGCTGTAGTAAGTGTTGTTTCAGTGGAGTTTTAGAGAAACCCTCTAATCGATGTACCGAAGAGGGACCGTCAGTGATCAGTTGATGTGCAACAGTTCGTGTGGGGTGTTTCAGTGATCTGAAAGGGCACAGTCGTGGATTTCTTGATTTATTATGGACAGCCTATTAGCAGGTATGCACAAGAAGTGAGTTTTTGTGTGTTTCTTGTTAATGGAAGTGAGTCAAAGGTGTGAGAACAGTGCTGAAATCTGTTACAACACATGTTTCTGAGTTTCTCTGTGTTTATAAGTGGGTGATAGGTGTGAGGACAGTGCTGAAATCAGTTACAGCACATGTTTCTGTTGTAGTTGATTGATAGTGGTGTAGTGTGGTGCCATGAAGTGAAGTTTCCTTCTTTTTTTATACCCATGGCAACCCTAGGAGTAGGAGAGAATAGTGATAAAAAATCCAGTGTTATGATCCCCCCCTGATTTTCTGAATGTACAAATGACATCTATCAAGTTGAATGGC